AAAGAAGAAATAAAGGTGTGTGTCATCAACATATCGATAACATACTCCAAAACACTCAATAACCCCATTCATTGGTTTCATATTGATGTTGTACAGCATGAGGGACAAAACTGACCCTCAGGAAATCCTATAATAGAAAAACCAAGGGGCTGAGCAATGTCCCCAGAGTACCACCTTATGGAGCCAACCCTCCAAGTAGATGTAGAACCACTGCAGTGTAATAACCCCAACTCCCAGTTCAGACAGGTGCCCCAGAAGGATACTGTAGTTGATGGCCGCTGAAAGATCCAGGAGTACCCACAGGCTGCGCTCCCCATCTCTCTTCTGGCAAAGGTCATCATACAGGGCAACCAAAGCCATTTCTGTGCCAAAACCCATCCTGAATCCTAACCGATATGGATCCAGATAGTCTTTAAAGTGATAGAGCAACCATCAAATAACGCGGGGGAATGCAATCCTGTCTTAAATAATGGAAGAGATGGGTGGGTGGCCTGGCTGAACTGAGGACTGATTTACTTGAGGGTTGGGAAACTTGGAGGAGACAATCTCTTTCTCAGCCATCCTTTCACCTTTTGAGTGACTTGTTCAACTTCTCTTTTTATTTTTATTTTTATTAAAGATGTTTGTGAGACTTCATCCCATAGCAAAATAAACTTTTATGAACCTTGTGCTGTTGTTTCAGCTAGACTACAACAGGAGGCATAGGAGACAGAATTAGTCTACAACTAAAATGTATTTCTAAGGGAGATCAAGCATCAGCCAGCCTCCCTTTGCCTGGGAAGAATGTATAGCACAGCTCATCATGTGGCCTAAAGGCTCTAAAGTATTGATGTGGACCTTTGTTTCTGAAAATTCATTGTAACTTTATAATTTGAAACTTTTTTAAATCACAGGAACTTGATTTAGAAACTAATGATGTGTTTACATCTTGTAAAATGTGAATAATGGTTGCAAATGAGTGCCATTGTTTGGATAGTGTAGGATGCTGTTAATAAACTGAAAAACAGACACTCTGCAAGGTGTGCAAATCTGAATGTAGGTATTTGTTCAAATATCTGATAAGGTTGCACATAAATTTTGAAGGAATATCGAAATATAGTAAATAAAAATGGGGTATTGACAAGTACACTTCACTAAATTACCATTTTGCCATTTCACTAAAATATTTAATAGATTCCAAGCAGTTTCCTGAATTTTTTTTTTAAATCTCAATTGCGATGCAGCAGTACGTCTATTTGGCGTGGAGGAGGAGAAGGTGGTTGGGGAGGAGGTTATTGTTTGGAGGGAGAGTCCTGTATGTGTTAAAAAGCACACAAAATCTTCACAGCAAGTGCACACAGGTCTGTCTGTGACCGTGATCTTGACCAGAGGAAGCCACGACCAGATGTCAGATTGGGGAAGATGGCCGTGTTCGTGTTTGTATGGGGAAGATGGCTGTATTCGTGTTCGTCACCCGATGTGTCACCCGACATGAACAGAAGCAAAATTTTGCCGAACTTTCTTTTTGCGAACTGAATTGTTCACAAACAAAAGCAGTTGTGAACGGAGGTATTACTGTACAGAGGCCAAGAAATGCTTAGAGGGGCAAATCTTGAAGGCAGAGATGCTTTAATCCTTCCCTGTAATTTCCTCCTGCAATCCCACTCACCGGCCACTTTTAAAAGATCTCCACTCCCCCAGAACAGAAGTCCTCAGCCTTGTGGGACTCAAAGGCACATCTAGGAATTTCAGAAGTTCCTGAGAAGAAATAACAAGGCAAGGGGATAGAGGAGAAAGAAAGAGCAAGGCTGGGTGAGGGGAGAAACATTGAGGTGTGGAGGGAGGTGGAAGAAGAAGTGGGTGAGGGAAGAGGCCAAACCAAGGCCAGCTCTGGCTACTTTCTGTCAAGAAAATGCAGCCTTCATTTTAAAAAAATCCCCACCTGTTACAGTCAAGACTAAATTGCAGCATCACTATACAGATGTAAGGTCTCTGGATTGTTCACAGCCTATACTTACTTTTCCTCTCTTCATACTCTGTTCACAACTTACTTTTCCTCTCTTCATACTCTGCTACATCCATGCATAGCATTCACCTCATTTTCTAATTCCCATTTTCCTTGTTGTGCCATTCTCTTATCTCCTCTCCATGCAGCTCCCTTCTACACCCACCCATATTTTCCTTCCATCAGCTTCTCCCCCATCAGCATTTCTTTTTTTCCCACCTTGAAAACCGCATCTCTCTCAGGGTCACTCACACAGCCATGTACATAGGCTGTCAAGGGACAAAATACGGGAGGAGTAGCTAAATTTCCTTTGGCAATATGCCCTTTCCTGTCTTGTGAGACTGAATCAGCCACCCAGCACCCATGGACTGTTGTAGAGTTCTGGGTTGTGTTTACTCATGGTAGTACGTCTCTTGGCTGGGCCTGTGTGACACACGCGAGTGTCATTATGAGGGAAAGTGTGCTAATCCACCAGGATGAGAAAGGTGGTTAACAAGCCACTGTGACTTATTAACCACCCTGCAACTATGCAAACCAGGTCAGAGACTCTAGAACAGAGTGATTTTTTTACTTCAGTGGGTTAGGTCCACACAATAGGATGCCTCAACCAATCCCTGATGTGCTACTTTTCTTCACGGATCATGTAAACCCAGCCAGTAGCAACTTTGTGGAGGAGGAGGCATGAGAGGAGAAAGGCCTGAGTACTAGAGGGAACTATGCGCAGGCTGCCCCCACTCTGCAAGTGTTTTTTGGACAAAGTAACTGTAAACTTTATGTGTCTCTTTAAGGTGAAAAGGGGCCTCTATCAGCCATTTTAAGTTATAACCCTTAAGTATTTAAGTATTTCCAATATTTAACAAAAATAATAAAGGTAAAGGTTTCCCCTTAAGTCCAGTCATGCCTGAGTCTAGGGGCGGTGCTCATCTCCGTTTCTTAGCCGAGGGAGCCAGCGTTTGTCCACAGACAGTCTCCGTGGTCATGTGGCTGGCATGACTAAACACCAAAGTGCACTGTTACCTGCCCACCGAAGTGGTACCTTTTTATCTCCTTGCATTTGCATGCCTTCGAACTGCAAGGTTGGCAGGAGCTGGGGCAGAGCAACGGGAACTCACCCTGTTGTGCGGATTCGAACCGGCAACCTTTCGATCAACCAGCCCAGCAGCACAGCGGTTTAAACCACTGCGCCACCTGCAGTCCCTAACAAAAATAATACTACTGTATTAAAGGTATGTAAGTAAACTGTGAAGGAGAATACAGTGTGAAGGAGTAAGAAGTGTAAGCTCAGCAGTGTATTAACAGCAAATGGACATTGCATTGTCAGGTTCTCAAATCAATTTATGATACTTAGCTGTTAAAGAAATTCATAAAAAGCATTACTTCGCACGGATTACTAGAATGCTGACTGAAGCTTTTCACTATAGGCAATGACCAGTTCTTTAATCCATAATAACATTACAACAATCTATACTTTTCCTCCAAATTTTAAGCATAAATGAGGAAACTTACACAATTATTTGAAAATGTGTTTTGCAATGTGCTATGTATTTCCTCCCACCTAACATTTCTCTGTCCCAGTTACAAGTTTAGATATTTCTATATCTTTTAAGGCCAAGGCCCTCTTCCTGTTAGCCTCCATATGGAATTTTTCTTTCAAGACTAGAGCGACTTTAGTGAAATTGATGTAATTTTTAGAGGAGATTGCTCAGAAAATGTGCAAGTGTAAATAAACTTGCAATTAATGTCTGTGCAGGTATGTTCACTGAAATATACTTTGCATACTGGAAACAAGCTGTTTAGGACAATGTTTGTTTCTTTATTGTCTATACCACTCTACAGCCAAAGCTCTCTGGATGGTTCACAACATCAAATTAAAAATAACACTAAAAGATACATCATATTAAAACATTATGAAAGTTACAATTCAAAATTTAAAACCAAATTTAAAAAGATTAATGTGTGTTAATCCTATGTATATTTAGACAGAAAAATTGCTACAACTGGAACAGTAATCAGTTTTTACAGAGTACTGTCTGTTCCACTAGATTATTTTTTCATGAAGTACTCTCTATTATCAGAAGGCATTCATTTCCTTATCAACCAAAGATTTTCGTTCTTTTCTGCTGCAAACCTAATTTTCTAGTTCAGGATTATTCTTTTTCAAACAGTATGGGCAAGTGAAACAAGCAAGAAAACAGCTGGGGTTTACTTGCTTGCTTGCTTGTTTGTTTAAGTGTTTCTTCAGGGCAGGAGCTCTCTTACAAGCTGTAAAATCCTGTAAAAACCCATACAGTGATAAAAATAAAATCAACAAACACCAGGAATTTAGTACTGTTCTGACTTGTACTAAAATCTACAGTCCCACTGAAGCTACAAACCAGAACACAAAAAGGCCAATGGAACATAATTGGGAAACCCCTAAAAAAAAGTAACCTTCAGGGCCTCCCTACAAGCTCGGGGACTAAGAAACTACTGATGGTAACCCATTCCAGATCTTTGGAACCATTGTGGAAAATGGCCTCTTTTGTGTACTTCAATATTGAACTATCCTCAAAGGCGGGCAAGCAAAAAGGGCCTCTTGCTGATTTTAAAGGGCAAACAAACTGATATGGCTACAGGTGGCTTTTGGGATTAAATTAAATTTTACTCTAAATATTTTTCTTGGAAATCTTTGCTATGGATCAGAAATGTCAGGAGACTGGTTAATGTGGCAAATGTTGTAAAAGTTCTGATCAGTCATAGTGCAAAGTGTGTGTATAATGGTCAAGTCTTGAAACTTTGCAAGACATTTTGTATGTTAATACTGCAATACATATTGGGTAGAATCCAGGTGAAGTTGAGCACTTCTATGTTATCATGGTTTCAGTGGCCATGAACTTCACTTTTCCATTCAAATTGATGAGAGACTATGCTTAATTTTGACTGGAATATGTTTATAATTAATAACAACTTGTGAAAGACTACTGACATACTCTGCTTCTCTGTAAATATCTGTTTTGCTCTTCTTCTTTTTAAACAGAAACTAAGTGAAGGATTAGCCAAACTACGTACAGCAAGAGAGCTACCATCTGAATGCAGATGCCCACCAGGTATGTGAAAGAATAATATATTGTTGCTACCCAGAAAAAAAATTAAAAGTTGTTTTTTACTGGCAGAAAAAAAATAGCTATCATGGCTTGTTTGTTTAAATTATCCTGGCATTTGTCTGTGTACATTTGAAGTAATATTCAATATTCTGTTGAAATAATTCGAGAAGGTTGTCTGCTGAAGTTAGCAAGCAGCAAGTAATATGATAAATTAATCATTCTGTAGGATTGCTGTGCTCTCTGCTTTCATTACTCTATAAATTATGTGCTATATGTATAGTGTACACTTATATGCTTCTTATTCTTTTTCCCTGAAAGCACCATTTATTGGACCAGTAAGTACATTCAGCGAGTCTGTGTGGGAACTGATTTTATACACTTATGCACCATATGCCTATCTCTGTTTAATGCAACAAAAGAATCATTAAGGAATTTTGGTATTTTTGTTCAACCTTGTTTTTGAGAAGTCAAATTAATAAATAAGTGTTTAATGATTTCAGTATGGACAAACTATACAAATGCTCTGTTGTTTCTTTCTATAACTATTGCCCATAATATATCTGGAACAGCATGGAACATGGTATCCCATGTTAGAGTTATTTGCACATCACATGAACAAGGTCAGCTTTTAGATGTTGGGGTCAAATGTTTCCATATGGCTATCTTTGGTTTTTACAGAAACCCAAATCCACCTACACAGCATTGCTTCAAATACTGTTTTGTAATGAAAACATCCTAGGCTACATTATTTGGAACTATATTCTGGACTTTTCCCAACTGAAGTAGATGTAAAACTTATAATGCATTTCTGAAATCAGGAGGAAGGGGAATGCATACTTTACTCTTTTGATCTTTAAATTACATATAATAGTTTTAAATATTAGACATATAGCTCTTTTCAACGTAACAATATAATTGTGGTCCTTTTGCTTAACTAACCACTACCAAATAAATTGATAGCTGTGTTTATACTTTGAGTCTAGACGGACTTTTTTTGAAAACAGACTAGATTGGTTGAGACATTAATCTAAAATACTTTCTTGCATGTCAAAATGTCAGTTACACTTCCAAAACGGGATGCCTGTCTAATTTTTAAATGTATGTTTTGGTTCTTGGAGCAGAAAGAATCTTTTCCCCTGGCATTTCCAATTGCAATCTTATGTCCATTATGCACGGGCATGTATGCTTCCAATGATGAGTCCATTTAGATTCTGAGTAGAGCAGATGTAATCCACTAGGTGCAAAGGGTTGACATATCTGTTGGCAGATTCCAACTTTAGCAATGCTTTTGAGGGCAATGGAATCTCATCAGGGCAGACTTAAGCAGGAACTGTGAATATTTGTGTGTGAGGGGATTATGCTGTGTTTCGCAGTCAGTTGGTCCTGATATCTGTTGAAATTCCTGTTGTGAGCAATCTTTCTTGTTGACCTTTTCATTAGCTCATGTGCTGGGCAAGATGATGAAAGGAAAAGATGGAGTTGCAAACAAGATTTAGGAAAGCTCCTTTCCTTCTGATAAGCCTTTTTTCTTGGCTGCCATTTCTTCCTTAGGGCTTGCCTATTTCTTTTTCCTCTGTGTCTTTAGAACCAAGTTAGGGTGAAAAAAAAATCTCTGAACAGATTTTTTGCACTTTAAGGTTTAAGGGGAGCCATATAGGGAGAGATTTGGATCAGGGATATGGTATTGGGAAGGAAGAGGTTAATCCTCCCTGCTCCGCCAATGCACACACCATTTGAACCCACACAATTCCCAGTTCCTGTGAGAGGAAGCTTACAGGCGTCATTGCAGAACTGGTGTTAATGGACAGAACACATCAGGAGGTATATGGCAGTGGCTTTCAGCTCAACAGCTGCCATGACTGTGGTTCTGTGTTTTCCCTCTCCTGTGTTTTGGGCATGTTTCATTGCAGTAGGATAACTGTATGGAAACTGAAGCTAATTTATTAGTAGCACTACTTTCCCACAGTTCCTGAGTACAAAAGCTATTGTCATAATCATGACAGAATTCTCCTTTAAGCACATCGGTATGTGAGGTGCTAGCTATGGCCAGTGTCTAAATTGCTGGGGTTGGGGTTTGGGTGTATTCAAGTGTTTGAGCACTTCAGGTAAAATGTTAGTTTTTTTTCTCTGAACAGACCCATATGCAATATCATAAGGAGACTTTTCAAAAGTCTCCTTAACATCAAAAGCATTTTCCATGTGGTATGCAGGTTGCTGTTCAAGAAGCATAAGCCCACAGCACCTTCAGACATGTAGAATCAGTTGTATGATTCTTAAGGACCTAACCCAGAACTCTGATTTAATGTTTGTGGTCTACATACATTAAATGAAGCATCTGGTGTGCCTAACACCAATACATGTTGCAATCTATACATCAAAAAACTATCAACATATTAGATCAGCTACGAAGTTACCAGCACGGCCTCCTCCGCCTTCTCCTGTCACCAATCTGGAGCTGGGAAACAGGTTCTCTCCACTTGGGGAGGTTGGGGCTGATGAGGCCTCAGGGGACCAGCAGGACCCCCAGCCTGGGACGTCAGGCGGCAAGGGGGCCACTGTGGGAGAGGTGAGGGCCAGGGCACGGCCGCCCACCAGCACCGGGAAGGTACGGCGGCGGGTGATTGTTGTTGGGGACTCCCTGCTGAGGGGTACTGAGCCGGCGGTGTACCACCCCAACCTGGAGACAAGGGAGGTTTGCTGCCTGCCGGGCGCACGCATCCGGCATGTGAAGGACAGAGTGGAGCGTCTTGTTCGCTCCGGGAGTCACCAGCCGCTCCTGGTGATCCATGTGGGCACAAACGATGTGGCCAGGCAGGGTGTGGTTGGGACCACCAGGGACTTTGAGGCCTTGGGGAAGAAACTCAGGGAGCTGAAGGCCCAAGTGGCCTTCTCGTCAATCTTACCTGTCTGGGGATTTGGGCCAGGAAGGGACAGGAGGGTCTCTGAGGTGAACGGCTGGCTTAGGGTATGGTGCCAGAAGGAACGCTTCGGGTTCCTCGACCACGGCACTCGTTTTCTTGCCAATGGACAATTGCCAAGGGACGGGTTATACCTCACGAGGATGGGGAAAAGGTCCTTTGGAGATGCTCTAGCGAGCTTCATCCGGAAGACTTTAAACTGAGCCGGGGGTGGGTGGGTTCAGGCCCCCCAGTAACATGTCTGCACTGGACAAGTGTGGGGGGAGGATCAGGGCTCTGGGAGCAGGGTTTTAGAGATACTGCAGGGACTGACAGGACTCCTACAGAGAAGGGCCAGGTATCAGGGAGGATGGGATGAAAGAGGAAGCTGGGAACTCCAAGGAAAGAAAGCGGTGGGAAGGAGTTGAGGAGCATGTACACCAATGCTAGGAGCATGGGTAATAAGCCGGAAGAGCTTGAGGCTCTCATGGGAACAGGAGGGTATGACCTGGTGGGAATCACAGAAACTTGGTGGGATGAAAGGCAAGTCTGGAATGTGAACACAGAAGGGTATCACCTTTTTAGAAAGGACAGGAAGGGAAAGAGAGGTGGGGGCATGGCTTTATACGTCAGGGAAGGGATAGGATGCAGTGAGATAGAATGCAGCACAGATGGGGATTTGGTAGAGGCAGTCTGGTGAAACTTAGGAGTTTTGACAGGGAAAGAAACCTGACAGTGGGGGTATGTTATCGCCCTCCAGGTCAACTTGAGACCCTGGATGATGTCCTGACAGGCCAGATTCTAAGGATATCTCGGGGGAGAGAGACAGTAATTATGGGAGATTTCAGTCTCCCTGATATTACTTGGGAGACTCACTCGGCAGTGACAGCCAGGTCACGTTGCTTCCTAGAAGCTATTGAGGGAGCGTTTTTCACACAGAGTGTCCGAGAGGCGATGAGGGGGGGAAACATCCTTGACTTGGTCTTGACCAGTAGGGAGGAGCTGATAGATGAAGTACAGATTAGGGGAGCTCTGGATGCGAGTGATCACTCCATCCTTTGCTTTGAGATTAGGGGACAGGGGACGTGCAGCAGGTCGAGCACTAGAAGCTGGGACTTCAAGAGGGCCACCTTTGGCCAACTGAAGGCCAGACTGGGGAAAGTCTCCTGGGATAGGTTACTGGAAGGTAAGGGGGTTGAGGAGGGGTGGATAGCACTCAAAAGGGAGGTTTTGGAGGCGCAAGCCTTGACGATACCTCTAGTCAGTAAGGTGGGGAGGCGGAGGAGAGTGCCGCCATGGATGCAAAAGGAGGTGGTTAGAGGGATTAGACGAAAGAGGAACCTCCGTAGGAAATGGGTACTGGGGGAAATAGGCAAAAGGGTATACCGGGAGGAGGAGGCCCGTTGCAGAAGGATTCTTCGCAAGGCTAAGGCTGATTATGAGCTGAGACTTGCCAAGAATATCAAGAGCAACAAAAAGGGCTTCTTTCAGCATGTAAATAGGAAGAGGAAGGGGAGACAAGTGGTGGCACCACTAAATAAGGAGGAAGGAGATCCAGTGACTGATATGAGGGAACAGGCACAGATGCTAAATGACTATTTTGCCTCTGTGTTCTCCTCAAAGCAGGATGGGGGATACACGCATAGGAGATTAGATGAGGCTGGGGACTTAGGGGCACAGATTAGAGTCACCCCCCTTGAAGTTGAGGGGCTCCTCAGGGCATTGGACATTACAAAGGCACCAGGCCCTGATGGGTTACACCCAAGAGTCCTTAGAGAGTTGGCAGGGGTTCTCTCCCGCCCGCTGGCCTCCATTTTTGAGACCTCGTGGAGAACGGGTGAAGTTCCAGAGGACTGGAGGGTGGCATCAGTGGTCCCAATTTTCAAAAAGGGTAGTAGAAACATGGGGAATTATAGACCAGTTAGCCTTATGTCCATTGTAGGAAAAACAATGGAAAGGCTCATAATAGAGAGAGATCTAGTGATGCTAGATAGGGAAGGGAGGCTGACAGCCACACAACACGGCTTTCGCAAAAACAGGTCCTGCCAGACAAACCTTGTGGAATTCTATGACAAGGTTTTGCGATGGCTAGATGGAGGGGATGCA